TACATCACCATGGATGTAACTCGTGAAAATTTTCGTAGTATTTTAAGTGTAATTTAACAGCTCAGCGGAGCTTTGCTTCGCTTCAAACTGCTTTTGGCGATGAAGCAGCATGCTAGACGACTATTTATAGCTGGTTTGCAGAATTCAAACGTGGTCGTCTGAATCTCAGTGACAAATTTCGTGATGGTCGCTCCTCTACTGCTGTGAACAACAAAAACATCGATGCTGTGCGCCGTGTGATTAAAACAGATAGGCATCTGACATACCACAAGATTCGGACATCTATAAGCATAGGCATGAGGCAAATACAGTCAATACTACACAAACATTTGGTTGTGAAAAAGCTGTGCTCTCGGTGGATCCCACACAATTTGACTGAGGTTCAAAAAACGGATCGCGTCACTTGGTGCAATGCCATGCTTTCCAGATTCAACGAAGGGGCGTCGAACTTGGTGTGGGACATAGTATCAGGAGACGAAACATGGATTTATACGTACGATCCCAAAACAAAGCAGCAATCGATTGCTGCTTTGGTCTTTCGAGATAAGCCAAAACCAACCATAGTGGCGCGCGTGCAAAGTGCTTTTAAGTGGATGATTGCTTCTTTTTTTAATAAAACTTGACACGTGGCTACTGTTGCTTTGGAAAATCATTGTACCGTGAATAGTGATTGGTACACGACCATTTGTTTGCCGGAAACTATTGACAAACTCCATGAAACTAGCCGTAAACACCGTATCATCATGCACCACGATAATGCCAGTTCTTACGCGGCCAGACAGACAAATGAATTTTTGAAGGTGAACAACGTTGACCTTATGAGCCATCCCGCATACAGTCCCGACCTGGCACCTTGTGACTTTTATTTATTTCCAAAAATTAAGAACCAGTTACGCGGTCATCGAATTTCATCACCTGAAGAGGCTGTCGAAGAGTATGAAAAATATGTTTCAGAGATTGTCACGGAGGTGTGCCAAAAATGTTTTCGAAATTGGTTCATTCGTATGAAAAAGTACGTTAACGCTAACGGAGAATATTTGAGAAACAACAAATTCATTTCGAGTTCTTAGGTTTTTTAATTATAGATAAACCAAAAAGGTTTATTTGAAAAAACAAATGCGATTTAAATCCTTAAAAATGGTTTCATTTCCTAAATAAATTCATTTCTGATCATTTAGAGTATTTTTTTCTTATTCATTCCGGAAACGTATAGTGTGTCTCACGTATAAGTCAGTGAATTTTACTCAAATGTAATAAATAAATAATGACAAAATAATGAGAAAAATCCTATTTGTTTAGACAACCTACACGCGAAGACAAGTTTTATAATTACACAATATTCTGCGTAAACATTATGATTAAATGAAATGTACCGTTATACAGACACGGAAAGTAAAGTTCATAATCTAAAAAGAACAAAATCTTCCAAAAACTTGCTTAATTAATAAATCTCGGCGACAAAATAAAAAAAACGAACAAGCTGTAATTTTCGCAACTCGTAAAACACGAACACGAATAAAAGTTTCGGAATGGACCGCGGGCCATGTTGCAAACTTTCATCAACACTTTAATCGGAAGTTGGGATACAGAGCGTCACATTTCAAAGCGTAGGTAGCCCATACCCGGTCTTTTTGAGCAATTTTCTAATTCACGATATATACTTGCAAGTTCGTACGTAAGTTTGTTTATTTACCTATACTGTTTAAAATACATTTCTAATTGTAGGGTAAGCGGGTAAAATTAAGTTGTCATGAAGGTGATGTGAGGGAATCCAACAGGATCGAAGGAATTTTTTCTAAGTGTTCGATCTTTGTATTAATAATTATAACAAACTAGTGGAGCAATTTCACAAAAATTAATTGAATATCATGGCGGTCTAAACATCCTGACATTCAATAAAACACTTAATTTGACATAACTTTTTGCTTTTAAACATATATCAATAGAAATTAGCTTATTTTTTTATTAAATGGACTTGCCTTGATCGTTACCTAGCTCTGGAGCAAAGATAGAATCTACGATGGTACGACCTCGCCCAGAAGATGCCTATTCAGTCGCACCTTAAACATACTCGGGTTGTATGACTTCGGAAACACAATCGCAGACAGGGAATTCCATTCCTGGGCTGTGCGCACAATAAAAGATGATGAAAAATCTTGACAGATATAATCACTATAAATACCTGAACTAGAATTTCTCTAATACTCCAGTAGTGAACACCAAAAATCCACTAATTGACTAACGAGCCATCGACACTTACCAATAATGAATACCGAGTAACTGACACTTATCAATAACAAACATATTACTATGATAGAAAACTTTATCCTAAATCTTATTACAAATTAATTTAAAAATGGTGTCGAACAATGGTGCTTATCGGTCACTGGTGCTACCACCTTACATAAATATACTAGTTAAATTATCTGTTAAGGTAGTTTTAGTAGAAGTAGAGCACCTTGCGAGAGTTGGTCCAGATAAGTACTGCCACCTTACCTATTTCTGCCGCCAAGCTGTAATGTCAGCATAATTGCATTTCTGTTTTGAAGGGCAACTGGTGCTAGTGATATTACGGGCACATGGAACTTGTCATATTTTGTCTCAGGGTCACGGGCGCAGTGGCAGCGCCCTCAGATATTTGCAATTTAAAGTCCTGAGCTGCACTGGAACAGTTAAGCCGGGTACTCATTAGCGAGTTCTAACTATTGCGTGACAAACACAGTAATAAGGTTCTTGTGTATACGCGTAAAACAGTCTTCATTCGCTAGAATGAGTACCTGGTTATCGTCGGCTCACTGCGAACCGCACGCGTTCTGCTCGCGACAAACTCGCAAACCACACACAATATAATTTTTGGTAACATAACATGCAACAGTTACGGTTACAGCTCGCTAGTGAGTACTTGACTTTAGGGAGAGGCATGTCGCTTACGACCAGGCGCACAACTAGTTTGTACCGTCATTTCGTATCATGAAAAAAAGGCTAGCAGTATTGGCGCTTGATGAGGAGGTAGGACCTATTTAGGAAGCATACTTTTCTAAATTGATTTTGTACTGTGTGTTCCGATTTGTGCCCCAGATTGCAATTTCATTACCGTTTCTCAAAGTTTATTAAATATCGTGGTTTGCGAACCAGGTAATTGATGTAATGGTCAGGTACTATTAATTATCAATATTAGTTACCTATATACATAACAATAATAATAGTCAGCCTATATATAGTGTATACATTTTAGTAGCAGTAGAGCTCCTTGTGAAAGACTTTGTCCAGGGAAGTACTCCAACCTTAACTATTTCTGCCGCCAAGCATAATGTAAGAATGACTGAGTTCCAGTTTTGAAGGGTAAGGGCGCTGGTAAAATTGCAGGCAAACGGGACTTGTCAACTTATGAGTCAGGGTGACGGGCGCAATGGCAGATCTTTGCAATTGAAAGCTCTAAGTGGTACTGCAACTGTTATGAACAGGCGTGTCGCTTACCACCAGTCCCACCACTTGTTCTTCCCGTCACTTGGTGTCATAAAAAAAACTGCTGGGGACAGAGCTCCTCTTACAATGAGAGGGCTTGGGCTGTAATTCCCAAGTCGACCAATGCGGATTGGGAACTTCACATACTTCAAATGTTTTGCAGATGTATGCAGGTTTCATCACGATATTTTTCTTTACTGAAGCTCATGGTAAATTACAAATTAATTTCACACATCAATTGCGAGAAATTGAGAGTGCAAGTCTGGATTCAAACCCAAGACCTCTGTTTGAAAGATGGTAGGTGAAACCATTAGGCTACCACGGCCATTTTATATATTAGTTACTCACTCTAATGCAATACCAAAGTAACTTCAATAATGTTCTCACCTACACGCCAAGAAGGTTATTTTTGAAAGCCGTACGTAAATTAAATATTATTTTTTTATATTGGTCATATTCAAACCATCATTACGTGTAAAAAATTACAGCTGTCGAAAGACACTTCCGCTTCCTTTACGTATTCAAAAGACAGCTCGGGCTGTAACAACGCCTGTGCATGCCCGCTTTCTGTACACAGCTTACGACTTGCTACTGTAAAGTAGCTAATCGTTTGAAAAGTCTTATGCCATGTCTGTCGATCTTAATTTTTTTTATGACACCTAATGACGAGACGAATAAGTCGTGCACCTGCTGTTGAGCGACACGACTGTCCAGACCAGTTACAGTGTCAATTAGAACTTTAAATCGAAAAATCTGAATCTGTCACATTGAGACGTAAGTTTACAAGTCTCATATGCCTGTAATTTCACTAACACCATTACCCTTTAAAACCGGAACGCAGTAATGCTCAGATTACTGCAGAAATAGGTAATGTGTCAGTATTTCCCTGGACGAACTCTTTCACAAGGAACTCTACTGCCACTGAATCGATCTATCGAAACGCAAATTGCTTTTTGTGAGTCAATATGTTTATTAAAAAGATTCTTAGTTATAGTTTATTAAAAGGTATTGAGTGTTAGTGATTATAATAATCCTCCATAATTAATTTGTATGGAAAACACACACACGTGTACCTATTGTCTCGACGATTCCGACTTTATAAAAGCGACTCAGAGTAGAGCCATTACTTCCCAAAATTATGATATAAGTACTAGAATATTAAGATAATTAAAACTGAGTACGTTTTAATATAGTATTTCTACTCATTCACACTTCAAGCTATATTAACTGTGCCTTTTTAAATTACTCTGAAAGGATGTGTGACTCTGTGCCTTATATGTATAACTCCAGCTCCACTGTGTAAACACAGAACTCATGAGGATATTTTTACAAAGCGTGAATACTATAGCAGACAGCACTTTTAAATATATGTGCGTAATGAAGTCAACCTACGGTCCAGTGGGTCAATGTACGGTCCAGTCTTAATACATTTTTAAAAATATTCACTAGTATGTCAGAAATAATAGGCAGTGTACGCAACTCAACTCACTGATGTGTGCGTCACGTCGAGCTCCCAATTCGCTTTAGTACTACCCAGCCTCTCGTCGGGGCAGTACGAGATCGACCCCCCGCTTGACTTTAAACGAACACTCGCTTACGTGTGGAGTGCAGTGATTTTTGTTCAGTGCAGTTTCGTGTTTAAAACGACATTTTAAAAATCGAGATCATTGTTCAAAAATGTGAGTATTCTTGGAACACTTTTAAATGGTGATTTGAATTTATTATGTGGTTCTTGTGACCAATTTCAGGTTTTATTAATTGAATAATTCGTTGATCGTATATTTTATGAAAAGGTAAATATAACACATTTTTACCGTAATAAAAATATTTGTTTTACCAGAATGCTTCAGTAAATATTTATTAGATTACTGAATTTGTTTTATAATTTACATTTTGTTAGAATTTGGACGCCGAAACTGACCGAAAAAGCCACTCTTAATATTTATTAGAACTATAAATATGTACTGGCATTTACATATAAAATTGCTGTATATATTTCATGTATTCAGTCAACTGTAAAACGAACCACAATGTGAAACATTTAATTTTAATTAAAATAACTAATTACGTGCAGTAACAAAATAAAACCATTAATCCCTTTGGCGAATATTTAACCGATTAGGATTAACTATCGAAAAACATTTATTTATTGACAATAACTTTGGTTATCTATAAAGTATAGGATAGAAAAGTATAGAATAGGAGCTATGTGTGTGATTTCAATAAATAATACGTTTATAGACTACATAACCTATTATACACCTCACAGCTGAGCACTTCCTATACTCCATCAAAGTGGTTAAATGCAAAAATGCAAGATGAGGATTTCTTACGTATTCCAGAGATTCTGAACCTTTTTCATTCACGACTCCTTCGTCGTTACGTAGAGGTAGATATTAAACATTCATAAATGTACATAGCTTAAAAATTATAAGTATATGCCACCACGGGGATTCGACCCGTCAACCTCTGATCTTATAATAATATGCCAGGCTATTAAACCAATTACCTGGTCTCAAATTACTCTTGCCCAGAACATTCAAACCAGGACCAATTCAGAGAAGTTGTTCCCAAATTGGTCCTACCAGGAATTGAACCCGGAACCTGTTCATCCATTGCCATCAGTGCAAACCATAGAGTCGTCATTTTATAGGTATGTAGACTAAGCGGCGTTGAAATATCGAAATGATTAAAGAAATACTATACTTTCTTTCTGAAACCGTTCTTCTCCGATCCGCTACATTCGGTATTAGTCCAGGAACTAATCAATTGCTAGAAGGATATGAGTTAGAAACATGAGCAGGCGGGTGAGTACTTCTATAATACTATTCAAGCAGTTTGTTTTCCCCGAGGCTTAAATAGTGATTTTCTCATTAAACGCAACGAAATTATATAGGTTTTTGTATCATGGTATGTGTTCTTTCTATTTTTCCAATATTCAGGACCAGTTGCACGCTCCACGGTGACGGGTTGAGTCAGCCTAAAAAAATTCATACCCTGGTATGAAACCTGTAATTAGTGATCATTATTTAGGGAATAACCACGAAAAACGCAAAATCAAAATTAAATTAAACAAAAACGTGAAAGGGAATTCATAGACATTAAATAAGTTTAATTTTTTCCTAACCTTTCTTTTAACGTCCATAAAACATAATTAAACAAAAATGTGCACTGCTTTGAAAAACTGAGCCGACAAATTGGAACATGCGGTATTTTTCTTGTGTCACTTCGACGATGTACGCAATGTTCAAATATTTAAAAGTTTGACGTCGCTGACTAAATTCCTGCTCTTTGCAAGTTCTTTGCTCAAAAGAAAAGCGATTATCGATTACGTTTGAGAAAAGAGTTACATTAAACTAGTTGTTAAAAGAGTACTTACGGTTAGGTTAGAAGGTTACAGAAAAGGAAAACATCGTCTAAGCGATTAGTTTTACTGAAAATCCGCTGCTTTTGTACAACTGGAAAGGCGAGTGCTTCAATTTAGTAGAAAAACGAGGAAACCATTCTCCTAAAGGACTCCCTTAATATACTTTCCTAAATACAGGACGGTGGAAACCAAGCATCACCAACATAAATCCACTTATGTCTCACAACCAGGGTCGGGTCTTCACTTTCGCCTTGAAAGTTACTAGTTCGTAACTCTGGCCCAATGAGGGTTGGCATTCTCTCATGATTTCGAAGAAATGTTTGTAGATGACACCAAGTGACGAGATAAACAAGTCATGAGCCTGGTGGCAAGCAATACGTCTGTCCATAACAGTTGCAGGGCCACTCTGAGCTTTAAATCGCAAAGATCTTAGAGGCACTGCCACTGCGCCCGTCACCCTGACACATAAGCTGACAAGGAAAAAACTGAAAACTTGTATAAATTTCGAATACTTCTGTAATTGTCATAAACATAACCTATATCAACTTTATAACCCCAGCTTCTTATATGCTATACTCAATTAGCCTTTTTGATGCTTTGATAATGAATCACAAGTGTCGATAGGTATATTTAATGCACGTCGTCAAAAACACTGGGTCGCAATACACGGGATGTCGTCATCCTTCTTTTTTAAGGAACCATGTTTTCTCACCGTGTAGTAATCAATTTATATCCGCAATTATCCTATGTAATTTTAAAATTATTTTTGTGGACCTAAAATTCGATTTTGGATATTAACTAGACTAACTTAATGAAATTCTTCCCACACGATCAAAAAATAATATGTATAACTTAACATAATAAATAAGGCTAGCCTCTAGTATCGGAGCCGAGCCAACTGCGGTTCGGCGCCATTTTGACTGAAAAATTCTTTACTGGCGCGGTACTGTAACCTAGAGACGTAGCTTAGGATGCGTAGCGAGAGGTACTTTATAAATATAAACTGGTATTAACTTCATAACTTGATATTTATTATATTTTTTTACATCTTTACTTCTTGAGGCTACTTTTTGGTCTGCCAAGATGTTCTTCTTTTTCTATCCTATTTTTTTAAACACATTCTAAATACAAAACTATATTCACTCAGCCAGTAGTTCTACTCCTGTGTAGCCTAGACTACAGTACCACCGGCTGCTCGGATCACCCAGACGATTGTAAACCGGTTGGTTTTTCATAATGGTAGAGTCTACGTTAGTTTGAACTACTTTTGACCATAAAGAAGTATAGGAAATATTTTATTCATTACAACACCAAAAAGCATTCGTTTCTTAAAAAAAAAAAAAACAGAACGTGTAGTTTGAATCTGTGCTAAAACTTTGTGCGTGTCTTGTATGGTGCGGTAAAACTTTATTTTGTATTAAATGTGTTATTTTTGCAAAGCACTATACTAGATTTTTATTGAATTATAGTAAATAGTCCTTGTTTAATGTGTTTTTATTAAATTTCAATGAATATAGGAGTAATTTCTTGTAAAAATATGCTTCTACATAAAATTATTTTTGAGATTTCCTTTTCGTTTTTACTACGATCATTGTAGATATTAGCTTTTCTACATTACAATTTTTATAGAAAAATTATTTACAAAGTCAGTACTGTTTACAGAACTAGGATAAGTGGTCTAGTTATTTTTTTAACGAGCACTTATCTGAAGGGTGACCTAAATCTAGGTAAGCGCTGGATGCGCGGGTGTGAAATAAGATCTGTGCTAAAACAAATAGTTGACATTCCGTTGTTCAAAGGGCTAGGCATAATTAATGCAAACCATCCTATTTTTTATAATTATTAATACAAAGATCGAACACTCAGAAAAAATTCCTTCGATCCGGTCGGATTCGAACCGACGTCTTCTTGCTAACCGTGCCAGACGCTATACCAACTAAGCCACGGAACGAATCATCGGACCTCACGAATTTTTCTATGTGCTTGCGTCGTGTCTTTGTACTTCGTCTTTCAACGACTATTTAGTCGTAGCGCCATCTATGAGAAATCTATTACAGATTTATCACCCAGTTAGTACCTTTACAGCTACCAGTCCTGGCAAGAGATGTCGCTATTCACTGTATTAATTAAATTTTTATTGGATTGATATTCAATTATTTTATGTGAAATTACTCCACTAGTTTGTTATAATTATTAATACAAAGATCGAACACTCAGAAAAAACACTCAGAAAAAATTCCTTCGATCCGGTCGAATTCGAACCGACGTCTTCTTGCATACCGTGCCAGACGCTATACCAACTAAGCCACGGAACTCCTTATCCTATATTAATATCCTATATTTTATTTTAATATTACACAAGTAACTGGTTAATGATGATTTTGTAATCTCACTCAGTCGTGACCATGGGACCTGTAAAGGGCCCGAAACTTTGGTTTGTTTGGAAAAACAAATATACGCGTATTAGATGCGAAAAAATAGTAACAGTTTTCATGTGTAATAATCGCGAAAACCAAGGAATTGTTCCAGATATTTAATTTCCAAATACTAAATTCAAGCTTAAACACTCGTAATTTTTGACAAAAAATGATCGACTTTGTTCTTATTTCCTATATATTATAGTTCTCGATCACGAATCTGGATCTAAAATCTCATATTTTCAATATACTTTTCATAACTCGTATAACAAAGTTATGAATTGTTTATATCATAGAGTTTTTAAATTTGTTGGCAGGTGTAACGCTTACCACCATACCAGGCGCACAACTTGTATGTTCCGTCACTTCATAAAATAAAAAAAATGGACATTGCTGCATATTCAAAATTAAACCATAATTTCCGGATCTTAAATCGCGTATACATGTTTTTTTCCAAAAAAAACCAATGTTTCGGGGACTTTACAGGCCATGCGACCTGATCACGGTTGACTGAGATGTTATTAACCACTAAACAGTTATAACTAGTATATAATGAACACGATCCTATTTTGAACTATAGTTACAAAAATATTTAATTATATTACATAGTTACCTGAGAACTCCCATTTGAATTTGAGAACTTATAATGAAATAGCAATATGTACTAGTGACGTCCACAACCTAGTACATGCGTAATAAAACGTTTTTGTAAATAATTATTAGTACGGAGTACTTAAAAACCGACCTCAAAAGTCTTTAATCGGTTCATAAAGTCGGTTAAACAGGAGGGTTCATCGCTCTATATACGAATTAATCTATATAGATATCTTTAACAGTAGCTGGGACATCGATAAATGAATTGTAGATTTGTTCTCTCGACTCGCGCGTTTGATTT